CGCGGTGACTCAACTTCTCTCAGGTCCCGAGTTCGCGCCTTGCGAACGGAATCGGACGGCGCTAGGATCGGTAACTCGGAATCGTACGGCTCGGAATTGCTGCGTCGACCGCGTGTTGATGAAAGCTCCGAAGAAGAGGAAGAGACCGGCGAGGATGGAGAAGGTGATGAGTTCGTTGATTGGGAAGACAAAATCCTTGAGGTTACTGTTCCTCTTGTTGGCGTCGTCAGGATGATTCTTCACTCCGGAAAGTATGTCTCCCTTTGATTCTCTCAATTTTCGAATTTCCATCAAAATTTTGCACACTGTTGCTGCTACTGCGTAACCTGTAAAAGCATTTAGGAAGCAATTGATTGCAGAATTTTCACACTAGATGGTGAATTTTAACAGTCTTTTGATTCGCTCATGAATTTCACAAACGTACAAGTATGGATTAGATGTAAAATGCCGAGCAAGTATGTGAATGTTGTGCTATTGTTACTTGTATTTTCATCTGTTTTGAAGAAGATACATGGGGAGTTTCTTTTGATTCATTTAGTAGCTCTGCTTTTCATTTCTAATTGTAGATATGCGAACCGAGATAGACTAAGCCCCGAGCACGAGAGAACAATTGTTGAGATGCTTCTCCCTTATCATCCTGAATTTGAGAAGAAGATTGGATGTGGAATAGACTATATCATGGTATGTATTATGCTGTTGATTTGACATTATTGTTAGAATATGTTTGTCAGACTCTTTCAATTTGTTATTGTCTTGGTGAAGACTACACTCTTGTGTTGTGAGGAGGATTTAAATACTGCAACTTGAACTCGCAGACTAAGAGGGCTTTTGATAACTGAATAGCCGGTCTCTTTCAGGAATAAAAACCCTCATATTTTCTGATTGTTTAGGAGCTAAGACAGTGATTTCTCACATGGTTGTTCTTCTATATCTTGCTTTGCAGTAATTGAAAGAATCAAGTTTATACCTGTAAAACAAAATACTTGCACATTCTTCATATTGGAAACAAGACTTTGATACTAAATTGTTTTTTCATTCAATTCAGCTTGCTACATGTTTTTGTTAGTGTATGTTCAACATAGATTTTCATGTTTCACATTTCAAAGTTGAGATGATTTAGGGAGAAAAGATATGCTTCCTTGTATACTTACTCCACCTCCAAACAAGTATTTCCAAATGGGCATCAGCTAATAATAACTGGATTGCTTTGGTTTGTGGTTGCAGGTTGGGCATCACCCAGAATTTGAGAGCTCTCGATGTTTGTTTATAGTTCGAAGAGATGGAGAAGTAGTAGACTTTTCGTATTGGAAATGCATAAAAGGTCTAATAAGAAAGAAGTATCCTCTGTATGCAGACAGTTTCATCCTCAGACATTTTCGCAAACGTAGGCAGAACAGATGAAGAAGCTTATGTAGATTTCTCAAACTCCAACCCTCATGGACTTGGATCTTCCTCTCCCAACTGCATCCTACAAGGTTTTGAAGTTAAAACTCGAGACAGAGAAGAGAAGATTCCATTCACTTATTTGTCTTTGAGTTGGAATTATGAATGGCACTTTCTAGAAAATATGGTTTGCGCAGGAGATGAGGAATTACATACACCATCACCACTTTTATATTTTTCATTTATCTAAAATCTTTAGCATTTATATGATGAAACTTTTACATTGAACTTATGTGCAGAGGTAGAGAAACTGTTCACAGTTGTGTGCAAGATTTAAATTTGGGAAGTCAGTAGAGAGACAGGTTCACTAACGTGTCTATTCCAAAACCAGTGTCTTTT